GGCTTTTGGAAGGCGAGCCGCGGGGGGACCAGGCTGCTCCAGATCACGGGGTGGCACAGGGATAAGGCCACCTGCTTGCAGTTGGTGATGGACGAGCCCCCGGAGCAGCTGTACACTCAGTGGATCCGCGATCGGATGGAGTTCTACAAGAGGGTGGAGCCAACGGAGCCTCCCAGGGATGAGCGGCTGGTCCTGGGCGACGCGAGCACCCCCCGCATGCGCTTCAGCTCCTCGAACGGCCTGGGGGATGTCTCCACGGCCTTGTGGTCGGTCATCCTGAGCAACCCGGAGAAGTCGGGGCTGGCGGCAATCCACTCGGTGGCGAAGGAGGCGAGGGAGCCGCTAGGTTTTGTCTCACAACCCTGTCGAATGTGGGAGTCGTGTGATCTCTTCCTCCCGAGACTTGGGTGCCATTGGCCCCGTCTCCGGGGGGGGGGGAAATGTCTTCCTTATTGGGTTCGGTTTTCACCACTGTTTCCTCTCTTATTCCATTTTGGTGGCGCACGTGGGTTTTTCCGGTGGCATGGCAGTGGAGCCACGTCACGGCAGCTTGATCTCCTCGACCATGAGGCCACATGCATTAGCTGCCCCAAGGAGCCACGGTTCGGAAAAAGTGGCTGCGGCCGACTCATGGTTTCCTTGAGGTCCCCTTGAGGTTTTGGGGAATCCCCCACCTGGTCGGTCTCCCCCTCCGTGCTTTTGGGGGGTTTCTGGGGGGTTGATTTTGGGTTGCGCTCCCCTCGGGACTTTGGGGGGGACGTGTCGGGATGCGTGTGGCCTGCCTGCTCCATCTGCACTCTGCAGAGAATGAATGGGACCGCCAGGACCAATTGAGGTGGTTCTCACGAGATGATCCACCCCCACTCCAACAACCGGAGCTTCTGAAGTGGAGGCACTGGCGCCCGGGCAAAATAAGGGAAATGGAGCCCACGACCCAGCGAGCGCTGGAACTCCATATGCGCGGGAAATGGGCGGAACGGCTCCTCGCCCACTTTGCCCCGTTTGCGGAGCACATCGCGCACATGCAGGACATCCTGGGGGAGGACTTCCGCAAGGAGGCATTGGACCTCCTGGGGGACAATAGGTTCCGGACACTCAGGCAACATTGCCTGGTCTACGAGAGTCTCCGGAAGAGAGGCTTCACGGTGATTCCCTGGCAGGAACGACATGTCCGCTCTCTCCTCAACCAGCTCGCCGAAGAGGAGGTCACCCCGTACAAGCTACGGCAGGTGTGGAACACCCTCAAATGGTATTCCAAGACCTTCGGTATGGTGAAGATAGACGAGCTCCATCGCCTCAAGTCCAAGAAGAGCTCGTTGGAAGAGGCACTCACGGACACGGTCACCCGGCCGCAGCGCAAGGCGGTGGTCCCCAGCAAAGAGGTCATATGGGCTCTGGAGGAAGGGGCTGGCTACGATCTGGGTGCCACCGGCCCCGGTACGCAGGCGGCCCCGGGGAGGAGCAGACACGAGGTACTGGACGCATTCATCCTGACCTGCTGGAAGATATCAGGGAGATCCTGGCGCCAGGGGCAGGCCGACCAGCGGAAGGCCAACCCTTCTTCCTGGACATCTTGCACAGCCTGGCGATGACGTCCTCGGGATCTGGAACAAGGGGTCCCACTGGGGGTCACGGACCCACCCCCAGTCTCGCCGGGCATCTGGCCACTCAAGAAGGAGCTAAAAGGGGAGGAGCCGGAGTTTCAGGAACTCCCTCATCTCACGGGCCGGCGTAGGAGGTCCCCATGGGCATGGTAGATGGCCCTCTCACCAAGGTAGAGGCAGCAGCGCGCTGTGGCTGCAATATGGAGGATCTTTGCCCAGGGCCCCTAGCGGGCATCGACGAAGGGGACAAGATCCGCACCATCTACGATGGCTCGGTGGGCGGGGCCAATGACACCATCAGGAACCAGACGGTGGAAAGGACGACGGCTCCGACGGTGCTGGATGGGGTACAAGCTCTTCATTGGCTACATGCGGCAGCTGAGGAGGGACCTCCCTCTCAGGGTGCCCCCGGCCCCGAGAAGGAGGTCGCTAAACCTCCACCCGAGGGCTGGCAATGGCCGGAGCCGGGCACCAGGTGGGTGCTGCTCAAGGCGGACGTCACCAAGGCCCACCGGAGAGTGAAGGTCCTCAGGAAGGACTGGCGGTTCCAGGTGGCCTCACTGGGGGAAGAATGGTGGGTGAACAAGGTAGGCACATACGGCATGGCCAGTGCCCAATCCTACTGGGGACGCCTGGCAGCCCTTCTACTCAGGGTCCTCTACGCACTTTTCCCTCAAGTGGATTGGAACTTCGTCTTTGTGGATGACTTCCTGTGGCTGCTTCGCAGCAAGGGGGCAGTGAACTTGGCGGTGGCGCTGTTGGCAACACTCCTGGCCTTGGGCACCCCGCTTAGCTGGAAGAAGACACATTTGGCGGAGGTCAACACGTGGCTGGGCTTCGTGGTCCACCCGAACATCCCGCAGGTTCTCATGGCCGCCAACAAACACATCCTGGTGATGGAGGTCTTGCAGATCATGGTGGAAGGGCAGGCGATGCACTCAAAGGACATCGAGAAGGCCCTGGGCCGCATCCAATGGGCAACTGCTGCATGTCCGCTGGCGAAGTCGATGCTTCAGCCACTGTGGGCCTGGAAAATGGCCACCACCACGGTGGGGAAACCCCCTAAGGTGGTCAGGATGCTGGCGTTCATGCTGCGGTTCCTCTTCAACACGCCCTTCGTCCAGTACTCCCCTTACTTGCCGAAGTCCTCTTGGTGGGGTTGCAGCGATGCTAGCGCCTCGGATGAAGGACTGGCATTTGTGGGAGGCTGGTGCTCCAACAAAGTGGAGCCGGAGAAGAAGGAGGTGTACTGGTTCCACGAGCAGATCCACGTGGAGGAGTACCCGTGGGCATTCAAGAATGGGGATCCCAAGCGGAGGATTGCGGCTCTGGAAATGCTGGGCACGCTCTTCCTCTGTAACATGATCCTCACGCACCAAGGCCCTCTGTCCTCCCGGGTCCGACTCCCGGTGGGCAGTGACGAAGCCCTACACCGCGGCTAGCCTGATGGAGCTGGTCTTCCTGCTCCACACCCATGGCTGCTCGCTGGCGGCCAACCACGTGCCCCGGGAATTCAACCAGTGGGACGATGAGCTGACGCACCCAGATTTCTCGGGGTTCGACCCTTTGCACAGAGTTCCTAAACAGGAACTCTGCGAGGAGTTCATTTTTCTCCCGCGTCTCCTGAATGGAGATGCATTTGATCTTAGCGTGGGCCCACCCATGCTCCCGTGACCGGAGCCGGTGGGTGACTCACTTCCCCTGGTGGCAGACCCCCCTGTGGCCTGGGTGCCCCTGGCCCCGGCCAGGGGCGGGCGCTATCAGTCTGCACACCCGTTCTTCAGTTTTTGAGAGTTTGTGGTGGGTGGCCCATGGGGCCCACCCAGCCGTAGACATCTGACAGGGGAAGATGAGTCCCTGGCACCAACACATTGCTTGGATAAAAGAGTTATCGCTTGCTTGTGTGGTGCCGTTTGGTTAGCTTACATACACTTTTTGTTCTTCTTCTTTTTTAAATTGTTATTATTATTATTATTATTATTACTTATTATTATTATTATTATTATTATTAATTTACTATATTTTTACATGTTGTTCAAGAAAGGGATGTGGAGGCCTTGAGCAGTTCCATACAGGGTCCCACATCCAGGGTTTGAAAGCTCAGCCTTTTCCCGATTGGGTGGTGGAAAAGCAGCATCCATGAACCCCCAGAACAAGGTAAAATGATTGGAGCGTAAACCATTCGTCCTCCCTGAGAAGCTTTCGTTCATTCCTTCCTTGGTGTGTTCGAATGTTAATCCCAGATTAAGGGAGAGTCTCCTTTTAGTGAGGATTCATCACTTTTGGAGGGGGCACCCCCCCTAATAATGGGACGGGCTTATTAATCCTGGGTCAACATTACGGCCTCGGCTTTCCTCTCAGCGCCGGGTCATGCCTCTCTTGCCCCGGAGGCGGCACTTTGGGGAATGCTGGCTGACCTCCTGGCAACTTGGCTCTTGCCGGCGAGGGCGAAGGCCTTCCAACAAGAAGGAAAACGGCAACACTTGTCGGGTTTTGGGTCTGGGATCGAGGGCGGGAGGTATGCGTAAGCACCAGCCGGCCACATGGGGACATGGGGCTTTGTCCAAATAGGGGACCCCTTTTTGGATGGTTCAAAAAGGAAGCCAAAAGGAACTCACCTGGAGGGGTTCCCAATTTGAGAAACATCCACATCATTCTTGGTCCATTCCTCATGTGTTCTCTAACGCCTTGGCTCTTTTTCTCCATGGAGTTTTGATCGGTGAAATGCGTGGATTTGATTTTTGGTTGAACGCTGCGCTTAGGTGTTTGCCAATAGCTTCCATTGCAACCGTGGTGGTGGTCTAGCCATGGTCACGTGACCATGGGGAAATCCTCGTTTTGGCCCATGACCCTGCCCCTGTTCTTGGTGTGCTGGTTTTTCTTGTTTTGCGGTTGTTTTACGTTGTCGCATGACTATTTTTTGTTTGTTTGGGGGGGCGGGGGCCACAAACCTCACACCAAGACAACCCCACACATCACAGGATGGGAGGAGAATGCTTGATTTCGCGTCTCGCAGGGTAGGAGAATCCGTTTGCTCAATTCCCCAGTGGGGGGTGTCTATATTTGGTGCCCCCCCCAAAAAGAAAGAAAGAAAGAATGGAAGGAAGGAAGAAATAAAGAAAGAAATAAAGAAAACAAAAACAACAAAAAACAACAAACAAACACAAAGCGGGTGGTTTCCTTGGTGTTTCCTTTCAAGCCACCCAAAAAGGGTGCCCTTTTAAAAACAGGCGCACCGAAGTTCCGGAGTACTGTCGAGGAATACTGTTTTAATGGGCAACGCCAACCTCGCACATTCTGATTTGGAACAATCCGCGAAAGTATGCATAGTGAGCAGTTGAAATCTCCGGTTGTATCTGCTAGCTGTACCCATTGCTTGGGTGTGCCAACTGATTGTTACTCAATATCTTGCCCAAGCCAGGCTTGGACAATACGTAGAAAAACACAGTTGCGGTTTATCATAAAAGGTATGCAAAGGATATAAAACGAGTAAATAAGCAGAACGCCAAGTGCAAGTGAGAGGTTTCTGGGGCCAACAACCTGCATTTGCCAGGGGCAAATGAAGGGTACAAAAGATCAGGGTACGCCTCCTGCAGCCCACTCCTCTCATTGCCCCTGGCTCCACCCCCCACACGCTCAGGTGGTTGGCCGGCCGAAGTTTCGTGGCTGACTGCGTGTACACAGCGGGCGGGCCATGACTTTGGTTTGTTTGGCCCTGCTCAATGATTCTCCAGGAATCGGCGCGTCCTGACATGGGAGACACCTGCAAACGCAAGATGTGTGCTGCGTGTGTGTGTGTGTGTGTGTGTGTGTGTGTGTGTGTGTGTGTGTGTGTGTGTGTGTGTGTGTATGGTGTGTGCACGTGTGGGTATTGTTTTAGGGCTCGGTGCCCATTTTTTCCCTCTCTCGGGGAAGCGGGAGGGACATGCCCGTTTTCGGTTCTTTCCACTTGGCGCTTCTTCTTTATGTACCCCAGTTACTCATCAAGATGGATGTGACAACCACAGAGAACTGTTGTTTGATGCTGATGGTATCTGCACCTGGCAAATGAAAGCGGTCGTGCGTCACAAAACATCCAACGGGGGGTGTCTCCCATTTTGGGATGCCCCGTGCCGATGTTCCGGCGTGCTTGAAAGGTCCTCGGCCGAACCTTTTCGAAGCCACACAGACATGTTGGACGCCCCAAAAGTGGTCACAATCCTCACCTGAGAAAGGCATCCAACACCACCCCACTCCAGTCGATGTCGATGGGACCTCTCTTGGAACTGGGTTTGACCACGTGCTCCTGGGACTCAATGTGACGAAGGACTTGGCGTACTTCTTGCCTTTTCGGGGGCTCCCTGCATGCTCCCTCAAGCGAAACAGATAGGGGCACCCAGGGGCGCGTGGCTGCGGGGCGGAATCCACACCGTTTCAGAGCTTGAAGGCGTTTTTCTCCGCTTGGCGCGCAGTTGATCCACCGGTAAGTAGGCTTGCTCAGCTGCAGGATTGACATTTGTTTCTCCCTGGCCAGGGGCAAGTTAGTCAAGATGAAACCTGTGGTTTTCACAAGCTGAGGGCTAACCTTCGAAACTCCAACTCAACACCTCCAACTCTGGCTCGGAGTGCCATTCGGCGATCCGATGGGAGTCTCGGTTTCGCGGCTTGGAAAAGGCCGGCGAGTTCTGGTTGATCAGCTTTTGGTTAAGGCAACCCCCGGCCCTCTCATTTTGTCGCACACCAACATGATATTTGGATTGGTTAAGACATGTGAAAATGGGTGGTTGCCCACCCTCCCCCGCCATGAAACTCACAAGGGAACCCAGGCTCGACCCTCCTTTCAGGAAGCTCGGAGGCCAGACAGGGATGGGATCCCTGATCCTACGCTGGGGCTGCCATTTGAGTGAGGTGTCCTTGGGTGTTTCAAGCTGGGAAATCAGGGTTGGACCGACCCTGTGTTGGAACTTGTGCGTCGAAGTCAGGCACCGGTGTTAAGAGTCTTGCTTTAACACACCTGGCATGAAATTGGATGGGCCCCTCAGAAAATGGTTGGACGTAAATGCAACCTAATTGCCTTCCAGCAATTATGGAAGCTGACGGTCGGCATCCCTAAAATAAGGGAAGCCCCGTCGACTTGCGTTGCGAGAGAGGACCCTTGTGACGTCCGGTGGTGCCAACTATCTCAGTTTCATGCCATCAACTATGAAACAACGCTCTGTGCCGCTCGTTTTTCGTGGCTCAGATCTAAGTCAGGATCCATATCCAAAACCCCCGTGGGAAAGTCTGTTCTTTTTTTGTTTGCGAACCTTTTTGGGTAAAGGGGATTCCAACAGCAAACCAACTGTCTATTGAGGCAAGCCCAACTAATAACGGTTTGTACCGCAACTCAAAGCAACCAAGCATGCCAAGAACACAGCATGACAAACAAAAACAAACAACAAGAGCATCAGCTATGGCTCGTTGCAGCTTTGGGCAACCTGCTTCTTGGTTTTTTCCTTGGGATTCCAAGGGCACGATTTCCCCAAAGTAGCCGTGCCACCGGGGGCTCGCCTGCGATCCTGCCATGAGCGCCGCTCGGCTTTACTGGCTGTCGCTGCTTTCCCTGGCCGAGGCGATCTCCATCGCGCCACGGCTGAGATGCAAATCGGGGCCTTAGATGGGGGTTGATCAACAGGTCCATTGAGCATCATGGAATGGCCATTGGGGAAACCACCATTCCCACTGAATGGAAAAACGCTACGCATGGTCGTTTGGGGGCCAGGAATATTGATCAACCCCCAAATGGTTGAACTTCTGAGGTCGGTCGCATTGTTTCTCCGGACTCCGCAAAGACCCAGAAGAAACACGAAGAGGTTCCAGCTTGCACCAAAATGACAATCATGTGTAGCATCCCAAAAGGAACAGATTTGTTAGAACTCATTCAAAGCTAACCGCATGGTGGCCTCGCTGCCCCCTGAAAAGTGCCGAAGGTCAGAAAGAGCGCTTAAAGAGTGCTAAAGGAGTGCCAGAGCGACAAAAGGAGAGTGCCGGGTGAAATTGCTGAAATCCCGGTTGGGGCATTGGAAATGCTGCCTAGAAGCTATGTGCTAGAGCTCTGGGATGTGCACGCGAAACCATTCTGAGGCAAAGTCGGAGGAAGTGCACCAACACCCGAGGCCAGAGGAGAAGTGGGTGGTGGGTGGCTGGCTGGCTTGTTGGTTGGTTGGCTGGCTGGCTGGCTTGTTGGTTGAATGGTTGATTGGTTGGTTGGTTGGTTGGTTGGTTGGTTGGTTGGTTGGTTTCCTATGTTGCACCCATCCACTTTTCGGGAATTTGGACTTCCTTGCGGTTTGGAGCTGCAAAGTCGTTGTGAATGTGCCGCGCGGGGAGGGATAATAGGGCAAAAGCTTGCTGCTCATTGTCAATGCCAGCTTGGCCGCCGTCTGCGTGTGGAAAACGGAAGCAGGTTAGTCTTGCAAGGATTGCGCTTTTTGCACTGTCGCTTGAAAAACCAAGTAAACGCAACTTGGCCATGATAGGGGCACCCCCGTGGCCGCTTTCCAGTAAGACAATCCGAATGGTGACCTCCTATTCGGGGGCTTTGTCGCGGCAGCCCAGAGCCGAACTTATCCACCGAAATGAAACGGAAGTGCCATGTTCTCGGGGCGCCAAATGTAGCAGAAGGAGCTGAACGGTTACACAAGTTTGTTTTGCCCTACTTCATGATTCATTCCAATGGCTTCTTATGGCGGAAGGGTTTCCGCCTGTTCATGATTCACTCAAATGGCTTTTGTAACCCCCCCAGAAAACCCCGTGGTTGCGACCAAGCCTCGCGGTTTTCGTTTCCGCCGGGGGAAACGGAAGCGGATATCGGACGCGGGGGGCCGCGTTGATCCATCGGGATCAACCCGGAGGCTGGAAGGTTGGCTGGCGGTGGCGGCCGCCTGCGTCTCGGGGTCCCTGCATGGAGCCCGGGAGTCCCAGAACGGGTGGTGGGGGGGGTGGGGTCTGGGGGTGGGGGTGGCGGTGGGGGGTGGGGGTGGGTGGGGTGGTGGTGTGGGGTGGGGGTGTGGGTGGGGGTGGGGGTGGGGGTGGCGGTGGGGGGTGGGGGTGGGGGTGGGGGGTGGGGGGTGGTGGTGTGGGTGTGGGGGGTGGGGGGTGGGGGATGGAGGGCGGGGTGGCGGTGGGGGGTGGGGGTGGGTGGGGTGGTGTGGGGTGGTGGGGGGTGGGGGTGGAGGGCGGGGGGATTGAGCCTGGTTTCATAAAACCACCTGTTTGTTTATTGGGGCTTTTGGGCCCTCCAAATGTGGCTTGATTCCCCACCAAACCCGGAAAGCTGCCCCCCCCCCCTATGAACTAGCTGGGGTTCACCCACCACTTTGGTGGTTGGGATTGGCGCGCCCCATGCTTGCCGCGAAATTCGCTTCAAGGATCCTTCTCTTCAAACGAGGGCAGTTTTTTGCTGGGAAAATGGGTATCTCAAGGATTGGTGGCTTGGATGGTAAATAGACAACTAGCCCTTGAACCACTAAACCACCGGTCCAAATCACCACTCCCTGAAACACAGAAGTGTTTGGTTTTGCCCTCTCCCGAGGCACCTCCGGGGTTGCATTGGTTCCCCTCGGCGTTTCTCTGGCGTTGACCTAAGGAAACTCCAGCGAAACACCAATGAACAGAGACAACCCTTTTCCTTTTCTTGGTAGGCACTTGTATCAGTTTCGATTGGCTTGGGGATTTGCACCCCTGGTTCTTGTAGAGGACAAATAGGAAACTACCACCAATTTAGTGAACATACAGTACTCCAATTGCGTTTTGCAATTTTTTGGAGGGCGAATTCGTTCACTAGCTCACCGATCGATTCGCGGGGTACGTGGGATTTGCGAACCATGAAGGTTCGGAAGAAACCCGCAGTTTGGCTCCAAAGGATATGTGCTTTGGGTGCTGTTTGGGGTGCTGTTTGAGGTGCTGGTGTTGGTGCGCGCGCGTTTATTAGTTTGGTGGAGGTGCTGTTGGAGGTACTCGGCCGGGTGCTAAGCAGTTTGGGGTGCTGGTGCAGGTGGTTGTTGAAGGTTCTTGTGACGCGGGTGCTAAGGGGCATGCAGTTTGGGGTGCTGGTGCAGGTGCTGTTTTGGGGTGGTTCTGGTGCAGGTACTGTCAGACGCTGGTGGCGGTGGGCGCATTTTTGCGAGATTGGCGGGGGCGCATTTTTGCGGCTTTGGGTTGCTGTTTGGGGCAGGAGGCCCTCGATGAAATCCTGCCCCTTTGCCACCTAAGCACTTGTGCTGCCCACACAAATGGAGCAAAGAGAAACACTTAAGGTTTCTGTTCTGTCAATTCCCCACCAGGAAGCCATTCTACACCCAGCAGTGTCCCTGAATGTGATTTGATCTGGCCAACGAGCAGTGTGCAATCCTCGACCTGTTTCAAGCTATCAGGGGTCCATGCGTAATTTTCTTGAGACACCCCTTTTAATCAGAGCAGTCGGCCAAAGGAAGCACTCTTTGGGGTGGGGGGCCAGGGAAGGGCATGGAGCCAGCAAGAAGCACGGAGCCCAAAGGCTCAAGACGGGCAAAGGAAGCGCCGCGGTTTGGGGATTGCCTTGAGGTCGGCATGGCCCTGCGGAAGTGGGGCGGCACTGGCAAGGCCTGGTGTGCCTAGAGTCCCGTGTCGGCTTGCCTTGAAGGCCAGTGGCTTTTCCACCCCCCCCCCAAGGCGGTTCGTTGACCCTCGCTTTTTTTTTTTTCCTCGTAGTGCAGCCCCAAGAGAAGGTGTGGTTTTGGTTTGCATCTGTGGCGGTTCAGATTAGCTGAGGGGTTGAAGGCTGAGTTCTGGCCGGTGGCAACTGGGAAACTCAGAGCCTCCAAACCAATCCCACAACCCCCAAGCGTCTTACCTGTTTCCGGAGTTACTTGTCAGAGGCGCCCTCCATGGATGACTTGGTTGCTACATGGGGGGGAGCATCCCGAGCGCCGGAGCAGTGAGGTGGTCTACTGGCGCGCCTGGCGCTGGTGGCTGGGCGCCGCAGCGGACTTCGTGGGGGGCATCTTCTTCATGACCTGCGCGCCTGGGCGACGTTTTGGTGCTGAGTCCGGCTTCCGGGCTTGCGCTCAACGACGCGTGGCGTGTGGCTTGCCCCGTCTTGGCTCCCAGCCATCCGGTGTTTCGTAGCTTTCGGGCTTTTTGGTTGGTTTGGTGGTGGGGTTTCCGTATTGAGCCCGCTAAAAGTTAAACACCTTTTAGCGGGGGATCTGAGGGCCCAGTTTTCTGGGCGCGGCCGCGGGCTTTGCGGCGGATTTGGCTGTTTGGAGGGCTGGAAGGTAGGTGTGCTCCTCTCCTGCCCCCAATGGGTGTGACTGACTCTGCGTGTATGCGTTTGTTGGGGTTGGTTTACGAGGAAACCACAAGGAAGACCAATTTTGGTGGCTTTAAACAGCATCTTTTGATGTTGGTGGGGTGGACGCTTTCCGAACCCCGCGAAGCCTGCGGAAAGCTCAACGATATCAGCTTGGAGCCGGGACTTCTTGCTTCCCTTTCGCACAACCTGAACATGTGCGAACAAAATGACACCAGCAGTAACAGGTGGGCAAACCCAATCAACCAAAACATCCGCGCAGCAAAAACACAACAACCGCACAAAACAAAACAACAAACGCACACACAAATAACACACACACACAGACAAGCAACACACACCCACACACACACACACACACTGCACACAACTTGGACTTCAACTTCTATAGGTTTCCCTACGTCAGCAAACAGTTGAGCTTTTCACGGACCTCCTGATTGTGTACAGGTTATACTCAAGCCTATACAAGCATCAAACAAACTGTTAAAACCCCACATTGGTAGAAGCAAATACCACTGGGTTTTTGCTGCGCCGCTCGCATTGAAGCAGCATGAATTCCGGGGGGGGGGGGGGGCTGGAAAAAACGGATTCGACTTCCCATCGTGTTCGCGCGCGATTGGACGCCGAGGTGCGCCACAATCAAAACAAGGGTAGGGGAAGGTTGGTAAGGGACAACCCCCTTGCCATAAATAGCTGCGGATATCCGCCGTCTTAATTCCCGAAGCATGGTTCTGGGATTACGACCATTTTAGTACCGGGTTTTGCCTGTGACTCAGGTGTCAACAGCAGGGAGTCCTGGCGAGGGGGGTTCTGGAACAAAAACGGATTAGATTTCCCCTCGTGTTTGCGCACGATGGGGCCGCCGAGGTGTCCTTTTTCCCGGCTGCGGTGCTGCTGCCCGTGGTGGCGGTGGTGCAGATGGGCACTGGCGCCTTGGAGTGTAGGCGACGCCAAATGGTGCGCGGGGCGAAAGCAGTAGAAACCCGCCCTAGTAATATGGGTGTCCTTTTGAACCCACCCCATTTAGGGGGATCATACTGTGGATGGACAACATCCTGCACCACTTTGAAACCATGGTTGAAACCACAGGGATTCTTAGGTGGTGCAGGATTTTATCCATCCACAGTAGGGGTGTTCCTCCAAAAATGACGAACATCCCCATGAAAAGCCATGAAAAGGGGCAAAACACCCCCTAGTTAACCAGGGGTCGGTTAACAAATCCGGGCTTCCCTGCTTTGGAAAGGCCGCAGGGTGGGCCTCCTATGCTTCGCCTTCTCATGTGATACAGGCCAGCCTCCACATCAACATGGGGAAGTTCACTTGGGAAATTGGGGCGCAAAACACGTCGCTTGCTTCCAGAATCTTCAAGGGTGCCGATCTCCTTTGGTCATTTCGATCTTCAGCACCAATCTCTATCTTCAAAACACCGAGGTAGGAAGAGTGCAATGGCTAAGACTTCCACCCAAGACGAGGCACAAACACTTTGCCGGCGCGTTTCTCCAGGCTACGTCATGGGAGTGGTCCTCTTTGGCGAGAGCACCACCAGGCGCGAGTGAGCCACGGAATAGCTGAAGGGGGCCAAAAAGGCAGAAGGCAGGGGGCAACAAGAAGCTATTTTGGGTCCAATTGCTTAGTTGCCAGTATGATATGTTGTATTTTGTTCTCGTGGCAAGTGCCTTGGCCCTAAGAGCCACCTCCCAAACATTTCTCCAAGTCTAAAAAAGAGCTTTTGTTTCCTTGCACTCCGTGTCGCCCTCCTGCAGGTTAGCTCCTTTAGGTCGACGAATTTGTGGGCAACCCATGTCCAGTTTGCAGGGCCGTTTCTGCAGAGACTTTCTCCTGCATTCCAGGTTTACTACGCGAAGAGCTGTTCCAGGGTCACCGAACGAAGTGAGAGAGGGCCCGAAAGGAGAATTCAGTGTCAGGGTCCAGTTGCCCTTGGCGTTTGTTTTGCGCCTGGTGTCAAAGAAGTTTTCAAGAGGACCCATCTTCCAGTGAATGCGTTTTGCCGATTCTGTTGGGGATCCTCCTTGCCTTGATTTTGCGTGGATTTCCGCTTCAACCCAACCAGAAACAAGCACAACTGCACGGCCACTGCGCAAGTTCGAAGATGGGCAGCGGATGATCGAAGTATGATAGTGTCATCACGGTGTCATACTCTAAAAGATACACGGGCTTTTCTCTTTAACTATGCTGTACGCAGGTGCCCGGACCTCTGACGCTTCTTTGGGTTTGCTTTTCCAGGGAAGCCAAAGGGAACCCAGACATGTTGCAACGTCAGTTCCCCTTTGGCTAACCTTTGAAATACGCCGACGAAGAGGGTACATTCAACAGTAGGAGGGTGGCACACACCCTGTCATGTTTGGAGGTAACGTTAGAAGATCCTTTTCGTCCAGCCGTTGCAATGTGAGACGGAGGTTTGAGTCGGGAATCTTCTGAAACGGGTTCGGATCAAAGTGTTCGAGATCGGCGGGATCGGATCCAGATCCGATCTCGTCTCGGGTCTCGCGGTTTCCCTCATAAAACCATCCCACAAGAGGACCTCAACGAAAAGAGACCCCCCACATTTCGGCGTTGCCAACTGACAGTTTTGAGTCATCAGACGTGGACCACTTGGAAGCAATCTCACATCAGGTATCAGGTACGTGTGAAGATCGGGGAGCCCGAGAAATGGATTCCGGATTTCGAGAACCTCCTCCCCCCGCCCATGCCCTCCCCCATCCCGAAGTCACTACGCAACCCGCATGCCGGCACTCTCCCAACCCAAGCAATCCAAGCCTGAATCAATCCAAACTCGAGCAGAAAGAACCCTAAACCCGTGTTTATAAAGCTAAATCAACCCCAACCCAACTCTAAACCAGCTCTAACTCAATCCTGAACCAACCCTAAAACCAATCCCAAACCAATCCTACACCAACCCGCAACCGCTCGCTCGGTTTCGGCCAATGTCCTGCGGACAGAAAAATGCGAGACAAGTTGGTGAGGTGGAAGGCTTACCCTCCCTCCAACAATCATGGAGTTGGACAGGGAGTCGGCTTCCATGATTGTTGGAGGGAGGGCAAGCCAGCCCTGACAAAGGCGTGCACATATATATATATATACATGTATATGATATATAGATAAAGACATGGTGCAGCGTCCCCAACCCCCCCTCTTTTTTTTTCTCCATGGTCATACAGGTGGCCTTGGTTTTTTTTGTGGTCCTGTGGGCTGTGCAGTGTTGGTTTAGGCCGGGTCTAGGGTTGGTCTAGGGTTGGTTTCCGGTTTTAGGGTTGGCTTCTTTTCCAGAATTAGCTCCCTGTTCGCTTTTTTTTTTTTTTTTGGGGGGGGGGGTCCCTTGGTTTTCCAAAAAACCTGGCAAACATGTTGTCAATTTTTTTTGGCGGGGGTCCGATTTTGGTTCGGGGTTGGCTTCCGGGGCTGGGCTGATCCATGGTTCCCCTTGCAGGCGCGGGAGCCTGGGCCTGGCCTGCGCGCTGCTGGGAGTGGCGGCGTTGAGCCAACAGGTGGCTGGGGTTGGGGTGGGGTGGGGTGGGGTGAGCTGCTGGCTCCACTAAAATCTGAACAAACGGGCTGTTCTTCCCAAAAGGTTTTTCAGGAAAGAACATGGCACCAGTTGCGCGAGCCAACTTGCACTTGCAAGTTACGTCAGAGGTCTCTAGAGCAAGTGGCCAGGCAAATGCAAAAGAGTTTCGCTGCGTGCCATTGGCCGCGCAACGAGGCTGGCGAGTTTATCGGAGATGCGCCCTGGGTTTGAAAGCGCAGTTTCTCACTGTTTTGTCATTCCTGGCACGTTTGGATTCAGGAGAGTTAGTGCAAGGGGGAGGGAGGACGGTATGTGATTTTGTTATAGTGCACTGCAGTGCAATGTAGCCGAATTGAGTCACATTTGTACTTGTGCATGTACACATACATAAACCTACATGTATACTTTCTACCTATCTATCTTTCTTGCTTTCTGTCTTTCCATCCCTATCCCCATCCACATTCCTTTCCCCACCTCTATCCTATCTCTATCTATCTGTCTGTCTGTCTATCTATCTATCTATCTATGTATCTATCTAATTATCTATCTATCTATCTATCTATCTATCTATCTATCTATCTATCTATCTATCTATCTATCTATCTATCTATCTATCTAATCTAATCTAATCTAATCTAATCTAATCTAATCTAATCTAATCTAATCTATCTATCTATCTATCTATCGATGTATCTATCCGTCTATCTATCTATCTATCTATCTATCTATCTATCTATCTATCTATCTATCTATCTAATCTATCTATCTATCTGCATCTGCATCTGCATCTGCATCTGCATCTGCATCTGCATCTGCATCTGCATCTGCATCTGCATCTGCATCTGCATCTGCACATACATACGCATACGTACCGATAAAGAACCAATCTTGTTTGCTGAGTAAAAACAACACACATGAGCACAGGTGTGCACACATATGTACATTCACACACACACACACGCACAAATGATAATGCATGTATATATATATATACAAATGTATTTTGAGTTGTGTTTCGAATAAAGTATATATGCATACAACATCGTCTAGCTTTATATACTATAGACATATACTGTAAGTTGTTACGATATCAGATGCTATAGATTTGTGTGGACCAGTTTGATACACCATACATACATACCTACATACATACCTACATACCTACATACCTACATGCCTACATGCCTACATACCTACATACATACCTACATACCTACATACCTACATACCTACCTACGTACGTAACAAAATGCATAACAGCATGCATACCATACAAAACATCCACAACACGATACATCACATACATAACATACATAGCAAACTGCATGACATACATACATTTACACATGCATATGCACATGTACATATAAACGCACACACACACACATATATATATATGTATATGTATATACATATATATATATATGTGTGTGTGTTACTTACACCGTCGGGACGCCCGCCAGGACCTGGGCCTGGCGAAGCCGGCGGCGGTGAGGGACTTCTTCGCGCTCTGGGGGCGCCTGACCTTCCTGGCGGTGAACGGCCGGGGGGGGAGGTTGGTGGGAGGGGCTGGGGGTGGGGTTGAGGGGGGGGGGTTGAGGGGGGGGGGTTGAAACGGGGGTGGGGCTGGGGGGAGGGGGCTGGGGGGGGAGGGGGGGGGTTGAGGGGTTGGACTTGGGGGGGCCGAGCCTCCTTATCAGGGATTCTTCTTTGAGTGTCGCAACAAGTCTCAGCAGGGGCTGGCAGGGCTTCATGTTGGTGGTTCTTATTTGGCTGGATCTTCCATCTTTGAAGCTGGAAAGAATGTGACAAGTTTTCCCACCAGGAAAATTACACGAATTACACCTTAGGCAAGAGGCACGCAGAATCGGGCGGAGGGCACGAAGCCGTCACCCCTCCGCCTGGCCGTCGCTGGAAAATCAAGGGCTTTTGAGTAAATTATCCCATGGCAAGTGGCTAAGGTTGAGCCATACGCCCTTACTGGGATCTTAGTGCGGAAGGGCTTTGTGCGCTCAACGAGTTGGAAGATCTTGCCGAAAAATGGCAGTATAAGTGTTTCAAAGTGAATCCTGATTTGGACTTGCCCTTCTTGATCTTCAGCGAGGAATTTCTACTCAGCGCGAGTCGTCAGCCTGTGCTGATTACATCCCTGTCCTTTGTGGCCGCACCATGTGCTCCTACCGATCTAGCGATCCGGTGAACAACTCTGTCAGGTTCCATGTGAACAAAGGGGCTTTCCACAGATCAACTCTAGCTTGGGGGCCCGTTTTTGTTTTTACGATTCCAAGCCAGGCATGCAGGGAGTTCCCTTTGAGGCTTTGCAAAGTAGTCGTAAGGGGCCCCCACTTTGGTGTCCCGCTGGGTGATTTCCCGCGCCCCGCGAAAGCCGACGAGGCTGCCTGGTGACAGTCCTGGTGGTGGTCGGCACGCTGGCGGACCGGTCCATGCTCTTCGTGCTGATCTCAGGCGAGAGGTCGTCTTTGTGCGCGGCTTTTGGCCAGTGGCAACATTTGGCCAAAAGCAATGGTGCCCAGGGCACCTGTGAAGGGGAACCAAAACAAGGAGGTAGCAACAAAAGAAAGCCAAGCATCTTCCGAGATAGCAAGATGGAGATCGCGTGTCTTCCGAGCATCTTCCGAGACCTTTGCATCGAAGCATGGTGTGCCAACCACCCCGTACAGGCGGATGCGCGAGACAGCCTTTGTGGTCGCACCAGGCGTTGACTGGCAATGGGTTGTGACCTCTCAATTTTGGGATATACGACATGATATTTTCAGCTTGTGGGGGCTTCAAGCCTCCGGAATTTCCGGAGGCCGCCTGGGTCAAACCAGGGGCTCTTGTGTGGCTGGGGTTCCTGGTGATTCACAGGGCTACGTTGGCTTCCCTGGGATCACTTCTGGTCCTATGTTGGAGTGTCTTTGTCGAAGTGTGATTTTTGTTTACGGGGGAAAGATGGTTTAACCTTGTTCGAGGCCCCTTTTTTTGGGGGGTGCCCAAACATTGACAGACACGCATATATATATATATACACATATGGTATAACAAATACACATTATATCTACGTATATATATATATATACGCATATGTACATGCATACGTATATGTATATGTATATGTATATGTATATGTATATGTATATGTATATGTAGATGTAGATGTAGATGTAGATGTATATGTGTGTGTATTCCAAGAAAGCATCTCAATTCTTGCCTCACACTTGGACGCAAAAGCCCCGTGTCGAGTTTCAGGCTATCTGGACGGGGTGCAATTCCTGGCCACGCGCGCGCTGGCCACGTCGCTGATCGCCACTTGGCGGAACACCCACCCTTTCGGCGCTGGATGGCGTTAAGCCTTCAAGGGACGGGTGGCAAATGAGGAGAGAGATTAGATGACCATAGCTTGTGGCGATGATTCACCAACTCGACACAGATCTTGTTGGGTCCCTTTGGGATCCGAAGTACTTGCCAGATGGCCGACTTGCCCACGTGCCGATCTCGGTACGCGTTTGCATCATATTTTTCTATAGGTTGCTTCCCCAAGGTCTTCACCCATCCTTCTCCGCCTCTCTTGTTAAAACGCGTGTTCATCGGGTTTTACGTGAAGGATCCTTGTAGAGAATGGGAATTTGGGTAATTAACACTCATAGCCATGTCAGGAAACCACAAGTCATTGCCTGGTTAGGTACTGCTTAGCTTCTGCCCATAACTGGGAAATACGTCTTGAGATTCTGGTCCGTTGGCTGCGGGGATTGCTGGAAATTGTTGGTTCCTGTTTTCGCTTTAACCAAAGCCCAAAAGGGGTCATTCTAGAGGCCCAAAGCCTTCAACCGTTTCCAGGTCAATCAGATACCAGCTTGAAAGGCGTTGGCTAAAATCATTCTCTTCAGGGTGTGAATGGGGAAGGATTAGTATGCATCGGCAGGTCTTGTAGCCAGACTTAGCTTACCTTTTTAACTTTTTGCCCTTTTGGGTTTCCATCATTTTAACTTGGTGGCGGCTTCCGCCCATGTTTGGGGGGTTGCCGCGCTAGTCATGGCATGGTGGTCGTGTTCTGCCTAATTACAAGTGAAGCGCGCTTGGGGCATTCCAGTGAAATTTGCTGTGCCGTCCGTGCATAGTTCTTGGCTTCACCATTTGCAGGCTGTGAAGGAAGGCAGGCTTACCTTTGAGTGGGCGCGTTTCGAGGGTTTTCTTCTCTCGAGCATGCACTTCAGGAAGAAAATCATGTAGAAGTGGCAACCAAGAAGCTGATGTCTATCTAAACAGGAATGCGTGTTTTTTTTTTTGAGGCCCGGTGCCCTTTGAGGCCGGTTTGTGAAGAGAAGCAAGGACACCCGCTAACATATGCGTGCGTCTTTTAGAATTCGGATCTCCCAAAATTAATGGGTTTGGTTTTCTTTTTGGTTCCCAGTTTGGTTCCCTTGTACGAAACCACAAAAAAGCGCGTCTTTTGAGGGGATTCCCATTGTGTGGCGGTTTTCATGTTTGGTTTCCTTTCAAAATTCCACCGAGAACGAGGGATAGCCTCAAACAACGCAGCCACAAGGGGTCAGGGTTGTGGGATCAAGGGGCATTTCTCCCACTTCTGTGATACTTTTGGGAATCTCTTTCTTGGGGAGGCTTAGTCTTTGGAATCCCGTTATCACAGCAGTGGATTCCATTTCCCACAGCCCCACAAGGGGACGTGTTTCGCCGTCGCGTTCGGGGCGAGGAGGGGCAGACCCTTGGCTGCCACTTCTGGGCGGTGCTCGCACTGAAGACCACCTGCGCCTCGCCGCGGTAAAACTGCGGGATCAAGGGGAAACATTGTGAACACACCGGCCTACCTGTATAGATATAATATACACGCACGACAACGCACACACACACACACACACGCATATATATATATATATATACACATTTTTATTTTTATTTTGTCTCGAAGTACTTCTTTTTATGTGCACACATCCATTTGCTCTGCATGTACGCCCGCACATGCATAGCACGCGGATTTACATGCACTTTTCATTGCCAGCTCGCTCCAGCCAAAACGAGTTCACTTGCAGGTGAATTTTGCTAGTCAGTGCCGTTGGGATCAGGTTGCCTCGGCTTGCCTCCAAAGGACAATCCCTGAAGGCATGTGAGTGTGTCTTCCTTTTCTTTTCGGGGACCCCCAAAATGGCTTCGGTGTTCCTTTGGTTTCTCTTTAAAACCGCATAAAGGGGGCACCGAGCCTCAAAAAGCACGAGCCAGCCATGGTTTTGATTTTGCCGTCCCAAAAAAGCACAGCCAAAAAGGGCACTCAGTTGACGTAGGCATTGTGCTGTGCCTCCACACCCTGCAGCTCGCGCTCTCCGAGAACTTGCGGCTCGGACGGACGGGAAGATGCAGATCGGACGGGGGAGAGGAACGCGCATTTTGAGCATCGGAAGTGGAACTTTTGCAGGGGTTCAAAACAAGCCCTAGAAATGTGGGCATAAGGTTGGATAGGTTGGATACATCCCGCTTCTGTGATGCCAGGGAACTCTCGAGGGAAAGGGGTCTTTGGAAAGGCCGTCCAGTGCTATCGTGGCAGTTGAAGCAACCTCGTTTGAGGGTTGCCTGGCACAGTTTGTGGCAAGGGCGGATGTCTGATTCAGGGTTGCTCTTTGAAGATTTCCGGAGTTCGGCTGCAAAAGTCGGAGGCTCCCAACGAGGAGATTCCGGCTTGGTATGCCAATGGAATCCAAGGCAAGAGGACAACCCAGTGGCCAATAGCAGGCTGACTGAAATCACCGTCCCCATTGAACAAATGACGGTCCCAATTACAAGATTTGAGGGGACACCCAGTGATTCCCCGTTTTTTTTTTGTCCTTTTTTTTCTTTTCTCTCAGCGAAGCGCGGTTGCAACTTTGCTGATACTGACTTTGCCCGGGTCAGGGCCGGTAGAAGAGGACGCTGGGGGGATGGGAGGCAACTGGCTCAAAGCTCCACGATCCCAGGACTCCTTTGCTGACCTGAAGGGTAGCTATGATTGTATGCGGGTGGTTCAAAGGGCTCCGAGGTGCGGGACAATTTTTAGGGGGAGCTCGGGATAAATGAGCCCTGGTTGATTTTGGGTCTTTCGAAGTACAGCATGTTTGCTTTTCGCTGCTGGTTTTCTGAAATTGGGGCCGCGGCCCTGGGAGCCGTTGGGCTTATGCTGTTGTTTTTTGATTTGTGGCATCGCTGTTTGGCTGCTTGTTTGCTGTGGTTTTGTTTGCTGTGGTTTCTCATGCCTTTCAAAGCGGGGGCCTTTGGGCCTGGACACGTTTGGGGGCGTTTGGGCCCTTTGACGAGAAGCGGTTTCAAAAAAGCCGCCGCGCGTGAGGTCCCGCGTGGCGGCGGCCTACCCGCTGGTGGCCTCGGTGATGCCCTGCATGCTGGGCGCCGCCTTCTTCGGCGACACGCGCCTCGGACGGATGTGGCGAGGTTCGGTTGAGGCCAAATGGGACCCCCGGAGCAAGTGGTCTTGACCCCTGGGAGTCATAAACCATATTAGTAGGGAGGGGGTTCCCTCAAAGTGATGAATCCCCACCTGTAGTGGGGACTTTCCCATATGAATCGCCCTGGGGTTTGATTAATCCAGGGTTCCCAGAACCAGAATTTGGCATGCACATTTTGCAGGTCTTTGGGGGGCACTGAAGGGAGCGGCATGGTCAGAGTCACGTGGCATGAGGTAATCCATGCGGCGTTCGAGTCCCGGAAAAACCGAAGGTGCAGCAAGTAGGCCAATGGTCGCTTACTTAATTGGACCACACCACCAATGTCTTCATTTTTTTTGGGGGGAGCCCACCCCAGGAGCGGCCCATTGGAGAACAAATTTCTGAGGTGTCCCCAATTTGGATCTTGAGGCGTTGGCTTTGGCCCTGCTTCCACGAGAAAAGCAAGTGGGACCGCTTTTCCCCTTGAGTTCGTGCCCAAGAGCCATGGGCTGTAGAGGGCTAGGTATCCCGCCTTCACTCTTGTGACCAGGGTTTCGTGCATTTGTGCACTCAGAGGTGTGGCAAGACCCTTGTAAAAGGATAGAGAGGGCCACTTCTGGCTGCCTTTTTGGCACAGACCCAATTCATCCATGCCGTTTATCTCCTTTTTGTACATGTCATTTTTTTGGTAGACATTCCCAATCTTTGCAGCTTTCTCGTTTTTGCTCTCAACCCTCTAAAAGCTACTGAGCCGAACCCCGTCCCCGTTTCCGGGATTTTCCCCGGTTGGGCTCAAGACGCGCGTTCCCGGCCGCGCGCGTCGGGCTTCGGGCTTCGGGTAGGCTGCCGTTGAGCCGTGGCCTGGGCTGCGCCTTCCTCTGCACGCTGCTGGGGGTGGCGCTGCTCTCGGAGCGAGGCGCGGACGCTTGGGACGCGCTTGGGATCGGACGGACGCGCGCGGATTCGCTTGCGGGCTGCGGGGGCGGCGGATTCGGGGGTTACGTGGCGGGTTTGTTGGGGGTCGGGGGTCAAATGGGAAAAATCGGTTTTTGAGGCTGAACTGGGACCTGGCACCCGGTTTGGGGTTGGTAGCTTGAAAGCGCCCGAACACTATTTTGAGAAAGCTCCCAAATGGGCAAAGGAGCTAGACGTGACTTGCCCATGAGGTGTGGAAGCGCAGTGGAGCAGCAGGTGAATCAGGTTGAATCCTACCAGGAGCCCCAACCCCCCTTGCAGTCTGTATATGCAAGCGTTATATGTGTTTGTGCGGGGGGGGGGGGCTCAGCCGGGGGAGCGTGACGACAGTCCGTGAATGTTTCGTGAGATCTGAGTATGATCTACCTTGCGGGATCTGAGCTCTCTCACGAGATGGTCCTTTACTGCGGGGGTTCCTTTTGTTCCATTTGCGTTTCTGAATGTGTTTTTGTTTTGTGGAGTTGGTTTCAAACGGAAGCTCTCACTATTGGATTGGTTTATAGTTTTTTTTTTTTTCCTCGTTTTTTTCTTTCTTTTTTTTTTTTTTTTCTCTGGGGACTTCAGCACCTGGACGCTTATAGTTCGTGAATTCTTCCAATGCGCCCAGATCAACTCAGCTGCCAGGAGCTTGCCAAGAAGACAGCGCTTCAGCAGAATCGCCGTGAGGCCCCTTTCTTTCGGTGGAAATTCGCTGCGACTTCCATGGCAGCGCTCCCCACCTTTTGCTCGGTTTGGTGTATGTGAGTGGGGTGGTAAGTGTACTTGGCTGCTGTTTGCTTGGATCTTCAGACTTCAACCTTTGAGAAACAAAGCTCTTTGCCCCACCTGGCATAAACAAGTCAACGCTTTGCTCGCAGAGCAGCGAACACTGAGTTTGCAGAGAAAGATTGGGAGCGCGGCTTGATAAGGCCAGTCCATGTCGTTGCGCACGTTGGTGACGCGTGTTTCAAAAGAGAATGATGGGCAGGGGGGTGGGGGGGGGGAAGGTGGGCGGGGGGGAAGTAGCCATTCCTAATCTGAAACCTCTCTTTGCTCAGTTGCTCAGTGGCACCAATTCTTTTTCCATTTTTTTTGGGGTGGCTGCCCCACTAAAAATGGTCTTCCCCAAAAAGGGTTCAACTTTTTCCTCCAGGGTCACTGAACAACTGAGTTTGATCTGATTTCACATTCAAATTGTCGGGGGAGAGAAAGCGCAGGCCATAGCCATTGGATGGGGCAAAAATGAATGCCCGAAATGGAGTTCACTCCACCTACGTGATTGGCATCATGTCCAATCACTAAACGAACAGTAGTCTTCCAAAAGCCTCATCAGCTTCCATGATTATTGGAGGGAGGGTACTTGCTTTTTTGGTATTGGTCGCTTGGTCGGTGAGTCAGCCAGCAATCCAGCGCTTTTTTGCTTGTTCATTTGCATGCACATCCCCGTGATGCTCTGGCTGGAGACTGGCGAGTCGCGAATTCGTGAGGGGCCCGCAAGCCTCACAAGGTACCCCCGCCAATCAAGGGAGCCTTCCACATACATTTTCCTTCTGCTGTTGGCTTGTAGCCTAGGCCCCCCCGCCTGATGTCTATGCATTGCTCGGGGCTAAGTGGCTGTCCCCAACAGGTTTGTACGGCTAGTACTGGCCAAGCAGTAATTAGTGTGCGCGCAAGCGAGCTCGCGCCTTCTGCGCCGTGTCCTTGTTGCTTTCCTTCCCTCCCGGCCGCGCTGCAGCTCCTGGCAGATCCCCTAATGCATCAAGCTTGGCTCGGCGATGTTTGCTTAGACCGCCAAAGGGGAATGTAGCTGCACCGAGTAGACTGGCCGCAGTGCCTTAAGACCGCGCTCTCCGGACCCGCCGGCGCGTTCTTGGGGTCAGGTGGCAAATCACAAACACGGCATCCCGGGTTGGAGGTTTCTCCCTTGACTTGTGTCAGATGCTTTGTGTCGATGGGTTCACGGCATTCTTCAGTGGAAACCTTTCGAAGTGTAAGTGTAACTTTTCGAGGTGGCAATCAAGTTCGGCTGGATGCGCCACGGTCTCCTTTTCGGTGGGTCTAAATCCACAGATCCGTTAGGACCTATTGGCGACAAAATGGATGACATGTTCTCCATTCCTCGGCTCCAAACATTGATTGGTTTTTGGCTCTTTCGGGGGGCGGGGGGGGGGGGGTGTTCGACCCCCATTTGGAAGTTTTCCGTGGTTTCCAGAAACTATAGACCAGCTTTGTATTTGCAGGCAACCCAACAACAACTGCTCGACGGCATCCTGCCTCATCCAAGTGCTTAAGCAGGCATCTCAACCAAAACACTGCTTTACATGGATTTGGATCCTCCTTCATCAGTTGTTCAAAGCCGACCTTTTCTCACCTTTTTGGTTTTCCCTTTGTTGGGCATGGCCCCAAAAGGTGAACCTCTAACTTATTCCAGGTTGTTGGGGCGGGTAAGTCTAAGTCTAGAGAAGCCGGTACTTCGTGATGTTTTTTCTGGTTCCCAAATGCATCCTTTCAGGGAACCTGTGAACGCGTGACTATCCCTCTCAGATTGTCGCTCAGAATCTGCCCTCATGATCTTATTTGCTCAAGGGCCGCATCAACCGAGCACACGGTCTACGCCCGTTGCCCGGGCCAGTCAGCTTCTTTTCCGTGGCTCGGCCGCGTCTTCTTTTTTCTTCCTCCCTGGCAAGGCTTACGCGTCTCGTGCGGAAAGATTTTGTTTCCATGGCGAGCGGCCCGCGGATCAGTGTGTACACGGTCGGGGGCAACTTGCTATGGGGCCCACAGGCGAGCGATGGATCCGCTTTGGCTTTGGGCGGGGGGTGCAACGGGATCCGGATCTCCGGGGGAGTTGCACCCTATGACATGTCACAAAAGTTTGGCAATTCAGGCCTTTTGGGAGAGCGGACCTGTGTTGCTCAACAGCTGCAGCGAGCGGCTGTGGGTTGACCCCTTTTGCCTGTGATGATTGGTGTTATTTGCTTGGGGGGAGCAGGGTCTTTTTGCTCCGCTGGGTTGTTTGCATTTCCAAGCAGGAAGCCACAGCTGAATAAGCAGTTGATTTTAACATTTTTCCAGATTCCCAATCCAGGATGTCATTCTGCCATTGTGCAACGGTTGTCCTTGTCGTTGTGTGTGTGTGTGTGTGTGCTTTGCTTGTAGGCCTCAGTGGGGATTGCCGCTTATTTGGGTTGTTGAGTTTTGACGTTGCTTCCCTCTTTCAGGAAGAGCGCCGCTTTTCTTGTGGCTTCATTGGGATTGCAGAGGGAGCCCAGACGCATAGTTATTGACATCGACTAAAACGCGGCCAGAGGCATTCGGGCGTTTTGTATGATTGGAAACCGCTGAATTGCCCCAGCGGCGGCACCCTATGGCCATGGGAAACCCGCTCAGCCGAGCGTTGAGCATAAACCTCTCTCAAAGAACCTCAAGTTGATTCTTCCCATGGTTTGTTGCCATGCTTGATTCACGCAGCTCTCAAAAATGACACCTGCCTTTGGCACCACCACATACCACCACCGTAGCTTTCCGAAAATAGGTCCAACGCGTTCATCACACCCTAGCATTCCCCTCCCTTGCGCCAGCAAATGAATTCACTTGCTGATGCTCAGGGGATGAGGGAATGAACCTGGGGATTGCCTTAAAGGACACCATGGAGAATGGTGTAAATCGGGGTCTTTCCGTTTCTCCCCTGGCTACCGCGGCAAGTTCACCATGCCAGCCGGCCCTCCGGCCGCCCACAAAAGCGGCAGGCGGTGGCGCCTGGCTTCAGAGCAGCGGAGCTCATGGAACGCCTGGACCGTCCCCTGGGGTCCCCGGGCATGAGGACCGAGACGGCAAGAAGCTTGAGACAGCCGGAAAGCGTTCTTCGAACAGAAGGTGGGGGGTTCACATGGGGGTTTGCACAACTAGCCTTTGATTCCAGGATCGCTTCTGCCTTTGTCCCAGCATGCTTCCGTTCAACCTAGTTTGGGGGGTGGGTAGCCTAGTGGGTGAAGAGCCCAGGCGGGTTGACCAGCGCAGAAGCCTTGCAGTGGGTGGGCTTCTGCTAAGCCTCGCTTCTTCTCCGTTTCGGCGGAGAAGGAGCAGGCGGGAGTCCGGTTTGCCACGGGATTTCGAGGGAGGGGAATTGAGGAGGGTTCATGGTGAATGATGCGATCTGTGGCAGATCTTTTTGGGGACCCGGAAAGACAAACAAACGACCTAAAAGCCTTGTGCATCCTTCAAGGCAACCCGAGGTCGTTGGGACTCTCACCAAAATCACACCAGAGCCCTCACCAACAGCATCGAACAAACATGCCCCCCTGAACCTCCGCGAATCGCGAGCCTGGATCTAAGACCCTGACGCCGCACTGGCCCAAAAACACATATACACCAGCATAGACCCCAGATAGCAAAAAGCATGCCGACAATTGTACACCACACCTCCAACAGCACCCCCTACAGCACCCGGCCGTCAATCTCGCAGAAATGCGCCCGCGCCGTCACTAACACCTCCAACAGCACCCCAAAGAGCATCCCAAACTGCATGCCCGTGCACCCTGCCGTCAATCTCGCAAAATGCGCCCGCACCGTCACCCCGAACAGCGCCCCGAACAGCACCCGAAAAGCACCCCGAACAGCACCCCCAAACAGCACCCCCAAAGCACCAGCTATCCGTCCGCACTTTCACCTGCATTGCATGTACGCTAGCACCCGGCCGTCAATCTCACCAGCACCTCAAACAGCAGCACCCCAAACAGCACTTACACCAGCACCCAAACTGCACGCCCCGTAGCACCCTCCCATCAATCTCGCAAATCACTTCCCCTTTTTATTAGAAGTTAGAATCCCTAGAGCTTTCAGTTTAGACTCTCACCAAAATCACACCAGAGCATTCCCCCCCCCTGAACCTCGGCGAATCGTCAGCCTGGATCTAAGACCTGACGCCGGCACTGGGCCAAACAAAAAAGACGGGGGAGAAACGACCGGAGATGTAAAGAACGTCAAGTTCGCATCAAAACTCGTTTCCCAAAGCCGACCTTTCGATTGGGTCCATAGCCTTTTGTGTCTAGGTCCTTTGGGGCAAGTGAGAAAAGGTGTACGATTCTACCCGGTGCTTTTCATCTTTGCCGGCGTTTTCCTTTGGCTCCAAGCCCACGACCCGACGCCTGACGCCTTCACGGCGCCATGGCCGCTGTGGATGACGATGCGGCGAGGGAGGTGCGGAAACCGGACGGCACCTTGGCGATTGGCGAGGGGGCCGGGTCTGAGATGTAAATCAGAAGAAGCAAAATGAGAAGCGACGACACACCACCTCAGTCCTCCCAGGTCGAACCCTACTGGGTGTTTTTTTTTGGTCAGTTTTTTCTTCTCCGTCCAGGTCCCAAGCTTCTTTGGGAAGGTGGTAGACAAACAGGACAAAACAAGCAACATGAAGAAAGGGACAAACAAAACAACGAGCAACCACGAGAGCCACAAGCATAAGAAGCAAAACAAGCAAAAGCCAAATCAGAAATCACGAAGGCCATGGTTGTGAACAATTTTGTTTTAGGGCCACTTTCGGTTATGCCAGTAAATTCCCCTTTCACTGACGTAGTCACAGGCATGTGAGTCCCACTTTGGCATCACGAATTTCGGGTTATTTCCCACAACGATGTTCTCAGGTAACGCTTGGTTGGCTTAGATACGTGGTTTGCTCCAGAGGGAAGCTGATGTAAGTTTGGAGCAGCCCAGTCACTTCCCGCTTTTGATATCCATTCGATTCAGGCTGGGAATTGTTGATCCTTTGGTGCGAAACGACTCTTTTGTTGGACCCGCCGTGGGAATGTCCCGTCGCGCCCGCAAGCCCGCAAAAATTGTACACCAAGAGCCCCCTAATGACTAATGAAAATGCATACAGGTTAGTCTCAAGATACTGTGGATGGACGAGATCCTGCACCACCTTGAGAAACCCTGGAATGATGATTCCGGTGTAATTCCCATGGTTTTAAAGTGGCGCAGGATTTTGGCCATCCACAGCAGGGGTCCCGGTGGCTTCCATGACAGCGGCTCACGATTTTTTTTGCAGAGGGCCCCTTGGTTTCGGAAGGAGAGGGTCCAAGTTTTGGTTTCCCTTTTTGGTTTCCCTTGGACCAACGGCTCCCGTTTTTTCGCCCAGGCCGGGTGATCCCCTTGGCAACCTTCGCCGAGATCAAGCAGCTGATCCGCGAGAGGTCGGCGCAGGCCCTGGACGTGAGGGACCCGGAGGAGGTGACAGCGGGCAAGGGCGGCACCGCCGCAGCAGGACGGGAGAACCACGAGGGTGTGCCTTCTTTTAGGGGAACCCCCGCAAAGATCAAGATGGCGCTTTTTTTTCCCTGTAGGTTTCCCTTTGACTCCTGCCAAAAAGGGGTACTCTTCTTTACAAGGAAAAGTAGTCTTTTTCGAGTGGACCCCCCAAAATGTGGATTTTCCTTTTGGTTTCCCTGTAAAACCTACCAAAACGGGGCACCCTCCGAAACAGAGACACTCAACAGGGGGCCTCAAAGGAAAAGCTGGTAGTCCGTGCCAGGCTTAACTGACCTTTTTGCATTTTTGCGGTTTGGGGGGGGGGGTACCTTTGGCTTCCCTCTTGACCAACACACTTTTTGCACAGTCTGGGCCAGTTACAAAACAGCCAAATGCAAGCTGAGGTTCTGTTACCCGGAAGTCTATTGTTCATTTGGGAGGGACATGGGTGTAAATTTTGACGTTGATGAGGATCGGGACCCCCCGCGTGAATGAGGAGGGTTCTGGGATGTATCCTTTAATTAGGCAACCCTACTGGGCGGTTTGGATTGATGGTTTGGGGGGTTTGAACCCTACGTTCTTCATGAGGGCAAATGGGAACCACCCCTAACCTCCCAACCACCAATCCAAGCCACCCTTCTCGAGGGCAACTGGTTGGACTGAACGGGGCGGGCTTTTGTTTCCTTGAATCGGCCTTTTTGTTTGGAGTTGGCGCTCTTTGAAGCAACACGTGGAACTTGGGAAATGAAGGGGACCAACTAGCTGGTGGTTGGAAGGGGGCCAGGGGGCCAGGGAGCTGGGGGTGTCCGAATCTGCTTTTGAAGAGGGAGCCTTTGGGAGCTGTAAGGATATGGCAGCGAAGGGGCCACGCCTTGGAGAGCCCACTTCGTTTCACCAAATGTCAGCTTTAGTTGGGATTCCTGTCACCTTGTGCTCATGGCTTAGCTTGTTCTTCCCCTTGGGCCCAGATATCCAGTGGTGACTTTTGTTTGGTGTTTTTGCTTGAAAGCCATCTATCAAAGAAGGGGTCTAGGAACAGGTGCACTGCGTGCGGGCAAACTTCGGCGCCCCAGGAGCCGTGCGCTGTCCGATCAACGTCAATGGAGCTACCCAGAAAGAGCACCCCACAACCGTCGAGGAAATGAAGCCTGGAATACATCGCGGGGCACTTCTGCTCTACTTGTGCTTTTCGCGCGGCAACAGCGTGTTTTACAACATAAGGTTCATCCCTCCCCCGCCCCCTTTTACAACATAAGGCAAAAACAAGGGTCACCTACAGGGGTTCATCCCTTCCCCCAACCCCCCCCCCAACTTCTTGCAACATAAGGCAACAAGAAAGGCTTACTCAAAGGGCCTCATCTCTCTTGTTGCGCCCGCAAAGGAAACAAAAGCTCTCCGACGCCGGCGTCAGCTTCCCGCCGTCCTCGGTGTTCATCGCCCACTGCACCGGCGGGGGCCGAGCCGAGACTGCGGTGGGCCTCCTGCGGGAGCTGGGGTTCACGGCCGTGAACGGCGGGGGGCCCGACGACGTGCGGCGCTGCTTCGAGGAGAAGGCGTGAGAAGTGGACGTCCTTCCCGACCGGGGAGGTTTGATATAGGTTTGATTATTTGGACTGGGATGACTGGGCGTCAAACAAATTGCATCACCTTGAGCTGTCCCAAGAAACCGAAAGACGATTCACGTGGTCTTTTTTTCCCAGCATTCAACGTTGAAAGTTCTGACGTGGGGTTGCTAAGTTATAAGCAGAAAGCCGGGCGCATCATTTTACTCCCTGTCGGTTGTGGCAGGAACATATTGACCAGACCCCACCTTAAGCCCAACGTGGGAGAAGCGATGTCATGCGATGCCAAGCTGCACCCGTCCCGGCCATGAAGCTTTGCTTGTGGCCTTCAAGGCGACGGCCGTTCGTCTGGCTTCGTGGCATTTCTCAAGCCACGACCTCTTTCGACTTTCGGACCATGCCATGTCTTTCCCATGTGGCAGGGCTCCTTCAAAGATACATAATGTTCAGGTGTATAATGTAAGGATCCCTGTTTGGGTTCACGGCATAGATTCTTAGATGCGAACCGGAGCTGTGTCACTCTGCGTCAGAGAAGCTTATTTTCCACAGCCGCGTTGACGTTGCTCGGCAGTTGTACGCTCGCGCACGCGCTCGCGACTCGCTAGATGCAAAAGGGGGCCAGCCGTCGTTTACCATCTTGTCGAGCCGCGGTGGAACTCATTTCGGTGATGGTTGCGCGTCTCTTTTTGAGGGCGTCGCTCTTTTTCGATTTGGCAAAGGTTCTTCAAGGAGAAACTCATTTGGGAGATGGCGTGCCTTATTGGGGCGCATTTTTTGGGGAGAGACTGGGGTCGTTATTTTGACGGTTTCTGGGGGTTCTCACAGTCGAAAATGGGGTTGGTTTCCCTTTAACCTGGGCGAGGTGTTGCACTTGTACAACCCACTCAGACTCTGCCAAGTTTCAGATCCAAAGAGGGATGAGAGTGGGCCTATAAGGTGTTTGTTTTTTGGGATTCCACGTGGCCATGGCATGGGCACCTTTTCTTTTTCCGCTTCTTTTTTTTTGGCGGGGGGGGGTCCACCCTTTGGACCCTCCTTTTGGTTGATTTTGAGCAGGAAACTGAGAGGAAACCCTTCTTTTGGAGGTGGCCCGGCGTGCCAGTGCCCCGTTTGGGAGGCTTTCTTGTTGCTTGGGTGTTTCTCCAGATTTGATTCCCCATTCTCTTCACCCTTCCTTCTCTTTAGAAATCACCAATGTTCCAGGATTTGGCCAATTTTTTGAAGAGAAGGATCTCTGAAGAGAATGGGGAGGGTACAGCTAGAGTTTTTACTCATGGCCCCTTAAAGGATGCGTTTTGGGCCCTTGGACTTGTTTTGCCACCATTCAAGAAACCCCGGCTTGAGAAAAATCACGCCTTCTTCGGACCCTGCCCACCTATGGCAGCAACCTGCACGGCACCATTTAACCTCTCGGATCGCGGAAGGCCAATCCGTGCAGGTTCCAGCGCCATTTGGGCGTGGCCTTCCCAAAAAAAAAGAAAAAAGTGGGGGGCAGGGCCAAAGCCGCGCCAAGAGGTGGGCCATTTGGGCCAGGCCATTGGCCTGTGGGATCTTTCAGGGTCTGGCTCGGGTTTTTTTCTTCCGCCTGGGCGAAGAGGAAAGGCCTAGGCCCAGTGCCCATTTTTTGGTTGGGCGGGTTTTTCTGCTAAAGTAGACAACACTTCTTTGTTCTCCGGGTACCCTTCTTCTAACCTCTCTACTGGAGGATCTAGGGTTGACCATTGGTTTTCAACCTGCAAACTTGGCCCCTTCCCCCGAAACGAACCACGCATATGACTCATATGACCCAAAAAGGCTGGCCGGCTGGCCCAGAAAAATGGGTTTCATGGAAACACCAGGCCAAAGGGATCCCAGAATGCTGAGTCCCTGGTCCCTTGAGCGGGTAGGGACTGGGGATATGAACCACTTGATGATTATGTCCATAGGTAGGAATCACTAGGGATCCGGGTTCCAAGGGGTTGCTCCATCAAAACCAGCCGGTTCTACTGCCGAGGTTCGCACTGTCAGGATGGCTTCTTATCAAAAACTTAAAATTCCCTATGCCCTGGTGGTTGAAGGACCCTGGCGCCTGGCGCCTCTCCTCTCCAGGATGGCCTTTGGAGACCAGCGCCTGGACCCGGAGAAGGACCTCTCCGAGCTGCCGGATGGCGCGGAGGCGCGGCGGGGTCTCGGGTCTCGCGCCAACGCCTCCCCCCCCCTCCCCGAAGAGGGAAAAAAAGAAACAACGGCAGACCGTAAACCCGGGAGGTCCTCGAAACATACATCCTGTGGAGGGTCTGTCTCTGTTTTTTTTTTTTGGGTAGGGTAATTACCCCATTCCTTTTCTGGGTGGTGTCAAAGGGAGGCCCAAAGGACACCGACCATTTCTTTGAGAGTTTCCGCTCTTGACGCCGTTTTACGGGGAAACCACAAGGCAAACATTTGTTTTTTTTTTTGGGGGGGGCAGGGGCGGGGAGGGGGGGTACCCCCCAAAACAAAACTGTCCAATTGTCTTCTGGCTTCCATTTGCTGAAGAACACCAGTGTCTTCCTCTACGTGTTTTCTCCGGGGGGGTTAAGCAAATGGAGGTAAGGGAACGTGTAAACATTACCCAGACCCTGAACATGTGTTTTTGGTGTTCCCCGGATTTGAGCCAAGCAAAAACACCCAAACACTTGTCGGAGAATCGGTCAGGGGGGGTTTGCCTACAGAGGAAATGCCGGCCCCGGGATTCTGAGGCCGGCCGCCGGCAAAGTCTGCCTCTCAGGGATTGAATGAAAGATCTCCTGGAGTCTCAAGCTTATCGCCTAGGGTTCACCCTCCAATAAAAGAACGGTAGATCAAATTTGGATGACACTCCTTAGGCAAGCAATCCCAGGCTATCCTTTTGTGCGGATCACGCCAGCCGTATTTCTCAACTCTGCCCGGAGTTCTCAGCGCTTTCGACCCCTATGGGGGCTTGAAAAACCTCGCCGCTAACTGCCGACAAAGTTTGCAAGTGGGGGAAAAACACCTGAACAAATTCCGCAAGTCCTTCGCCCCATATTGTGGCGGGCGCAGCGCGAAAGTTCTGCGCTAGATCGAATCCGCCCGCGCAGATCTCCATCGAACCCTCCCCGCGAAAGTGGCTCTTTCCTGACTCTTTGAGTTCCTGGACTTGTAGATTCTTTTGGGTTTGGACCCATTTTAGCAGCAAGAAAATACCCTCCCACCAATTGAAATGGATCAAGGGGTCCCTTTAAAAGGAAAATTGTCTTTTAGGTATTCCCGGCTGTCAGGTTCCATGATAATTGGTGGGAGGCGGGTAACAACTTTTGGACCAACCACTCAAGTGAGTTTATTTTCGAATCTTTTGCCCATCAGCTCTCGAGAACCTTTCGGGAAGACCCATTGAGCGGCAAAGAAATTTGCTTGGCCCGAGATCGACCCCGGATTGTCCTCCTCCAACAAAAGGGACATGGACGTGCAACCGCGTTTCCGAAAGCATTGTAGTCTTCCAGCAAAATGTTTGGTGGGTTGAGATACTTGGGTGCCCTTGGGCACGCCCTGAAAGAGAATCAAGTGTCCAACAAATGCAAAGCTGAGGAGTATATAGGTGATACTTGAATCATTGAAATCGCAATGCCTTCAAAAGCGACCAGAATTGGCAGTGCGCCCGGCTGCATGAGTCACAAGCCCTGCGTTGCTCAGACAGCAACTTGCGGACACAGGGGTCCCTATATCTCCCGTTTTGGGGTGACTTTAAACATCAAGGTGTTGCCCCGTTTTTCCGGTGATTTTGACTTGTAGAGGTGATGATTTACAGGGGCATATGGGGAACCCTGTGATACAGCACTCGTTTCATCAATCCAAACCTTTGCGTTTGTGGATCTGCGTGTGCAATGGATGCATCTGAACGCCGAAGCCCCGCAGTCCCCGTGCCAACTTTGTTTCTTTTTCGTCGGGGCCTGCATGGAGGCGTGCCCCAAGCAAATATCCGACCCCTTTGAACGAAGGGTACCAACCAGCAAAGGGCATATGCAAGGAACACACACACACACACAGAATACAAAGATTTGTAGACAAGGCCCTTCATCTATGAATCAACCAGGCGCCTTTTGAATCCGTCAAAAGCCCCAGTTTTGCGTAGAAACTTGTGCGCCTTTGGACCCGGCGGTTCTGCGAGATCAAGCTCCGCGAGGTCTTTGTGCACTTTGAGCAGGTCAAGGTTTTCGACCACAGCTTTGCAAGGGCCCTGATCAGACTGGCAGAGAGGCCCTGATCAGACTGGCTGGGTGATTTGGAAGTCGGAAGCAACACCGCGCAAGGGCAAGTCTTCCTCGCGGAGGCGTCCAGCCATTGGGTTTTACCAAACCCCCAGCTGAATGGTTTTCGCAAAAGCCCCATGTTTGTGGGCACCTTTGCCTGTTGGCCTGTTTCGTTCCTGCGCGCCAGCGGTCCTGACGCTTGTTTTTTTCGAGTGGTTTAGTCTTTCCTTCTTGGGCCAATCTGAGATGGAGTGCCATTGTGGAGGGGTGATGCCAATGTGACCTTGTCCCATTTCCCCTTCGGGTGGTGAGTGGTTTGAAGCTCAAAAATGCCCCAAGCAGTTCCTCAACAGATGTTCAAAACACGTTTGGGAACTTCTGTGCACATTTCTTCAAATGCTGGGCTGGTTTTTTGGTTTCTGTAGAACATGGGGTGACCGGTGTTCTTTGGTTTTGTTGTCCAAGTGTTTCCAATTTTTTATCGATTCTCCCGAGTATTGCGCTTCACTTTGTCAGGTTTCGTTTGGGCCGTGCCACCATCGGCCAGGGTTGGGTCCACCCTTAGCTTGCTGCAACTAAAAAGGGACACCACCTCAATCCTACCGAATCGCCGCATGAAAAGCACCGGGTCCGAACCGTCCAATTGCCCCCGTTCGGAGTTTCCGATTTTGTGGAACACGCCTCGCGCGGCACGGGTGGCATCGCGTTCCGTGGATATGTTGGGAGGTCGGAGATGGAGGAGGATGAGGAAAAGGCGAGGCTGCTGGTGGAGGAGTTGTGGAAGAGTCACGAGAGTGACTTGATTCAACTCGACAAAGCTTGAGGACTTTATTTCTCACTGGAACTCGAATCGACCGGCTCTGACCTTTTGGCTCCCCCCTTTTTGGCGTTGCCATTTTAGTTTCATTTCTGGGTTCAAGCTGGGCAACTGAGTCGATGCGAATCGATTCCCTTGGAGCCTTTTCAAAGTGCATGTTTTTTCTTCAGGGATCCCCTTTTTGGAGGTTTGAAACACCATTTGTTTGAACCGATGTAAAGTCAGTGTTTCCTTCAAGTGGCTTTAAGCGGGGTGATGTTTCAGGAGGACACAAGGGGAGCCCTGGTCCAGTTTTCTGGGTTGGAACCAGCCCCACCGATCTCCGAGAGATCTTGCCTCAGGCAAGATCGTGAGGGAAGGCGTGAGCTTTACGACCATGCAAGGGGACCCCCTCATTGACAAGCTCAACACCTGGATCGACGCGGCCGCCTGACCCGACTGCGCCTCACCGGCTTTTCTGGGGGCCGAACCAATTCCTGGAATTCCATTTGTAGTAATTACAAACCTCCCCTTGAGCAAGAAGCATGCTTGAATCACAAGGGGGCCCAACCTTGGTGAATCTGGACGTTTGTTGAGGCTCGGCAATCAGACGTTTTTCTTACCAGGAAGCCAAAGAAAGAGCGAACCATTTTTGATGTGCTCCCTATTTGCAGCAGCCGTATATATAAACTCTCCGGAAGATTAACAATGGTTGCTCTATAAGGGGGGTCCGGTCCTAAAGGACATTAACCTATACCGTGTTGTTTTTTTTCCCTCCTCAGGGTCCATATTCATGGGGGGTGCCCTGCTGAAGATCCACTGCGTAGTTAGTTTGTGACCTGAAAGGAGGTGTCTTGTTCACGTCTTGCGGGTCTGCGTGAGATCTAAACACGCCGCCCTCGGTCAACGTAAAGGGAGGGCCTCCCAATCCACATACTGTTGGTCGTCGATGTGTCCCAGTCTTCATATGGTTTCATCCATTCCCAACTGGTGCGAAATGATTTCGGTCCATCCAACGTATTTGGGATCGCTTATACAAGGCTTATATCGCCGTCTAATGGATGGATGCGCGGGCAATACGTGAATCAACGGAATATCTTGGCACATGTCCCTGGGTACACTCCCGTACAGATTTCACACGGAAACCCAACAAGCAACGCGGAGGAAGCCCCTTTTGTTGGGGGGCCCTTTTGGGTTCCATGTTAATTTGTAGGTAATAGTTCTCTTTGTTCAACAAGGGTTCTTGGTGCGTTCTCTCTCTTAGAGCGATGGGTTCCCTACATAGGCGGTGGAAGTCTCATGCAAAGCATTTGCCCTGTACGTTGCCCTGGAACCAGAGACTTTGTTTAACCGAAACGTCAGGTTTTATGGCAACGCTGATGGTTCAGGGTGCCCAAATCTTGTTCTTTCGAGCTACTTTTTCTCCTAGGAGAGTGTTTTTTTTGTTCCACTTTTTGCTTGTCAAAGCGAACGCGGCAACCAAGTTCTCACTTCTTTGCCACGTGGGCTGATACTGGCAACCCTGGAGTGGGATTCGTGCAGACCGTAGGTCCGCGACTCTATGCCCGCCGACTACCACCCCGGGAGCGAGGGTGTTGTGCGGGACATCGTCCACCCCTCCCTGCGACTCGGCTTCCTGGTCCCCCATTGCCGGTGCCCAAGGTGTTTGAAGGTCCCCATTTTAGAGACCGGATGGACATGAAAGATAAGAAGCTACCAAGCTGGGGTTGAACAAGGCTTTGGCACCCCTTAGGAGCTAAAGGTTACTCGAATGGAAGTTGCACCAGGCAGGTTGGCTCAAGGGCCGGCTTCCGAGTGGGGGGGGAGGGATGGTAAGACTTTTATTTGGGTTTCTCTCAACAGCAGCGCCCAAAACGAGTGGGTTCCAACTTTGTTTCCCTGGAGCACGACCTCAAAACGGGTAGCCTCCAAAAGGCACGCGGATGTCTAGTTCGCGTCCGTTTTTATGGCAAGTTGGAGCCAGGAGCCGACTCCTCTAGGGTTTGTAGGACATTGACAACACCTTCATGGCCATGTTATGCCAGAATCGCACGCACAGACACACATGGACTTGTGCCTCGATATTGGGGAACCCAGAAGGGGTGGTGTCCTTTTTCCAATGAACAGCATCCAGCAAAGAGTATCCTCAAAAAAGGCACACCCACATGCACCCCGCACCTGGTTTGGGCAGGTACCCCTACGTCAAGGGCGCCTCCGGTCACGGGGACTTGTCGGACGTGACTGCCCCGCACCTCACGGCTGAGCGGGGAAAAGGCGGCTACGCGGGCGGGAAAGGCGGCCACTCGCCGGTCACGGACTTCTGGGGACGACCCTACGAGGCGGAGTTTTTGCGGAGTCGGGGGGGGGGCTTATCGTATGCAAGAACTATGGTGGCCATGAATTTTAATAGGGAACCACCTCAAAAGTGATTGGTGGACATGGATCCCCACCTAAATGATGTCCACCAAAGGGTCCCTAAATAAAATTCAGAGCCATGTGGCTTTTGTCCCCAATCATGTTTGTGCTGGTGCACTTGGAGTCTATGAGCCTGTCCCCCAGTCCAAAACCACACAGCATGTTGACTTTTGTTGGGCCTTTGTTTAGATCATGTCAACCGAGTACCTTGTTCTTGACCACATGGGTTTCAAAGCGAAACCGTGAAAAAGGTGTGGGGATGGGTGTGCCTATTTTAGGTTCTCGCTCGAGGGCCAAAGCCAGCTCACCAAATGAGAGTTGCTTTGCCTGGCTGCCCGTTGCTTTTTTTTCAGCCGGATTCTGGGAGAAGTTACCGGAATTGGCCTGGGGACTCTTGACTGGGGGGTTTTCCACTAAACCCCCCCAAAAAGGTATCACTTTTTGCAGGTGGCTCGTTGCAGCAACCAAGCAAGTGACTTTGGTGGGTCCTGAGCGGATGCGATCGATTCGACGGTCCCCCAGGCGAGCGGCTACCAATGGCTGCCCTCGGAGGTCTCGGTGGACGCCAGCGGCAAGTGCCGCTTCGAGACCTACATTAACAACCTGCCCGCGGGCGGCTTGGCTGGCGGGCTGGCTGGCTGTCTGGCTGGCTCGGTTGGTGGGTGGGTTGGTGGGTGCTTGTGCCAAGTCACGGCAACCACCAGAAAGAGCGACAAAATCCAGCTGTAGCATCCCAGAAGGAGCCAACCCTTCTCTTCCTTTGGGAAAAAGCACCCCCAAGGTGATCTTAGTAGGTTCTACCCGGGGCAAGTTGAGGGTTAGACAAGATCAACGCCCAAATGCAAGGTGATTCAGAGGATGCCCTTGTAACGCAAGTGGCTTTTAGGACCCCTGCGAAAGGGTTACAACTAATGTTCTGCTTTGGAGTGGTTGAAGCATCACCAGGGCCAACATCCAGTGAGTGGGTTTTCTTTGGCGGGGTGATGTTGTAGGATTCGTGCGGTGCACTGATAATTTCGGATAAGTCCGCAGGACCCTAGTAGCCGGAGGATCCCAATAGCCAGAGGACACCCCGCCCTGATTCGCATCCTCCGGACGAATCCCAAATTAACATCAGATCAGTCCTTTCCTCCCAGGAAGGGTGGCTATTTCTTATCAAACCAGCCCCCCCTATAGCCCCCTTCAGAAGGTCCCAGGATGGATGGATTCCTTTTTACGTGATGCGAATCTTAAGGTCCTCCCCTGACAAATTAACATGGGTTGCCGTGGTTGCCAAAAAAGTCCCTTCAAAGGTGATTCACCCGCAGGCAAAGGAGACGTATTACTGTGGTTGAGACATGTCTCCGTGTTAATTTCCCGAAAAGGGCAATTCTTTCACACCCAAATTTCGCCCAACGTGATGTTGGGACGGGGGGCCATCGTGCCTTCACTTTGCAGGGCATGAATGGACCAATTCGGACCAACTACATTCAACTTCCTTCCAATCGATTTGGATGGTTTGGCTTTTAGGGGAACAACTCCAAGCCACCAACCCAAACCACCAGGAAATAAATATCAAGAAACCCTGAAGCACCCGAAAGGGTTCTCAACTAGTTCACCCCGTCCACCCCCCTTGTACTTACACTTACGGGTTTCGTAGCGGCTCGATGGCTGACCAACAACAGTCAAAGACTCCCCCCTCACCCCCAGACCAAGCCCCAAAGAAGGGCTGTGACAGAATACAAACCGTACCCAAAACTTATCTAGCCCGAATTCACCCGGATTTTTGGCTTATCGTGACTTGCTGCCTCAAGGTAAATTGAGGAAGGACTAAGGAAATTCAGGTATAGCTTCTGAATGTCTTGCTTGCTTCCCAAACCTCACCTCTTAAAAACACAACTTTTCAACTTGTTGGGTAACATGGGGCTATATGTCTGTAACATTTTGCTTCCCAAACAGCTCAGAAGCCTCGATTGGGAGCTTCACGCTCGAGGGTTGGCTGAGACCACAGCGAGCTCTACGAGGCTTTGGGGCAGCTGCTCTCCCGGTGTTTGCCGCAGCTGGAGGCCTCCTATGCCTTTGCCAAGGCGAGACGCACGGAGCCAACATGCGCATTTTGTGCGATGCGGACGCAGATGCAGATACAAATGTATATATATATATATATACATATAAACACACACACATATATATATATATATATATACACATTATATATATACACTATATATATACACGATATATACTATATATAAATAA